CGGGGTTTTTAAATGAGTGAGCAAAAAAAAAAAAAAAAAAAAAAACCGGCCCCCCCGAAAAACCCCCCCCCCCCCCAAAAAACATTAAAAGCGATCAACAGCAAGATGACTAGATAGTGACCAAGTCGTATATGTGAGAGGAGAAATGAAAACTAGTTGCGTGGGAAAGGTGACTCCACGGACGCCTGTCAGTGTGAGCCTGGTTTGTCAGTTTATCTGTGTTTATATTAAGTAAAGAAAAACTAGCCAGACAGGTACAGAGTCCACAGCCGGGAGGGAGTGTGAACTTGTCTTGACTGGCTGTTTTGTTGAACCAGACAAGATAAAGGGCAAACGACCAGTAGGATCGCATACAGTGTATGCAAACCAATAGAGACGACACATCATGCTATGGTGGTTTAAGTCTGACCCCTTACAGGGCAAGAAAGGACAGGGATTCATAACTCCTCCACTTGTTGTATGCACAGACACTGATAGCGAAAGCCTGCAAACCTGCAAGTCAGTAACGAAAACGCAACTTGCATTGGCTCTTCATTTCACCTTTGAATTCATTTAACTCTTGCTTAAAAACCTAAACGTGGTAATTGCAAAGACAGCTTATGCTATCTCATAATACAACAAAACCCCTTTATACTGGCTTGGATATGGAAATTTTTTGCCACATCATTTGTATCCAGACAGAAGTCTCAGACCTCCCAATCCATGTTTAAACAAGAGCGCTATGACTAATTTGCCTGAATTACGCCCATCTTCAACAACAAAAGCCAGCTTTTGCGCGGCCATGCAACAGGCAGGAGTTGCAGAAGCGAACAGACGAAAAATACGAACAAAACACAATTTCTTTTTATAAATGCGTTAGAGCGAATTAAAAATGCTGCAAATGCGCCAGGCGTGCCCCGGCCGCTCACCTGTTATCAGTCCAAACAGATCAAATGTCTTCCTTCAAATCAACGTCGACTGAAATGAGCTTCTCGGTTCGGTATTTTCCGTAAAGACTTCCTTATTTATCTGTATGAGACTATTACAGCGCTGCACTGAAGCGTAGGAAGGATGGCTGAAATAAAACGCGCTAGCCAGAAATAATGTGCATAAAAAAATCAGGGCGAAAAGCGCGATGCAGCAGGACAGGGAAGCGGCGGCAGAATGTCAGCTGTAACTACAGTGGCTGGGCAGCAAAGCAGACTGCTCTCAGCAGATAACAGATTTGGCCAAAAAAAAAAGACAGAGGGAGGGTTTAGCAAATGGGAGGAGTTGGACGACAGGGGAGTGTTTGTTTATTATTTATCATGAAGTCACGACTAAATGAAAGATGGTGCAAACTGCAGGTAATAGAAAAGGTGTGGAAGTCCATTTCCGCCAATTCATTCGTCCTTCTTTAGTCATATTTAAAAAAACTGCTACTGAAAAACAAACCTGAGAGACTAAAATTTATTCCAGTTCAACATTAGCATTAATATTCATGTTTATCTAAAATGGCTTCATGACCAGTCACAGCGTGTAATGTAGATGATTCATTGAATATATCTGTATGTATAGTGAAAATACTCGTTTTTTAAAATTTGAGAGCAACTGAATCAAACTTTTATAAATCCTTTGAAAAATTATCAAGGAGGCAACCAAAATCCTATTAAACCAATTTTTCAAAATGAGTTATGATTTGATCCAATGTACTAAGGAGATTTCCTTACATTAAAAGTGCTTTATCACCCCCTGCTGATAAACCCCAGACTTGCAACTGAGAAACCTATGAAAGCATGAGAGTAAAAGAGCAGTTTGATAAATGTAAAAGCATAGTTTATATAAAAAGAGACAAATTCCAATGTTCTACAACATTAGCAGATAATGCCACAAATTGAGGTACTGATGAACTAATTGTCCTTTTCTGCTGTTGAAAAGACACAAACTAGTACATTTCAAAATATTCAAGACAACATTTTGGCAAACATAAAGATTGTTGATCACAAACCTGTAGTGTTTCCTGAAATAAGAAAAAAGTCATTTTCTTCGAAGCTGCATTGTCTGAATTCCAATATGGTTAAAGTCCAGAGAAAACATGCTGAAGGCTGGCGTCAAGACGAAAAGAAAAACCTTCCTATTTTTTGACCCGATTAGAAAGTCTGTTACAACAACCGGTTTAAAGGAGACCTATTATGCAAAATTCACATTTTGCAAACTTTTGTACTTCCACTTGGGTCTGAACTACTTCTAAAAATGGCTCAAATTCAAAATAAAAACCTTTCAGACAGTTTTTGGCAGTAAGTTAGTGTTTTTGGAAAATGAGTCATTTTAAAAACCTCAAATTTGTTGAGTCACTCTGTGCAGTCACAAGCGGAGATCCAGCACATCTAGTCAGCTGGTCTTAAGGCTGTATGAGCTGTACAATGGCTGCTGGATAAGACAAGTACTTTGTTGTTGACTTACCATCCAGAAATTACTTGCTGCATTCTTGTTGAGTGTGCACAGCGCTCTACCTCTGCTTTTCAAAGACGGCATTCCCAGAATGCTGTGTGGTTCTGGATCAGAGTTCAGTAAAATGATTGAATATTCTATCAGATGTAATATCTATTGATACTGATCACGTGTCTATCACAATATATATTGTTAAGGGTTTATTGTCCAGCCCTAGATGTAAGGTTGTATAATTGCGCATCCGTCTGCAGCCATTTTTACCTGCGAGTGTTTCACCAGCTTATTTGGATTTAAAGTGACAGAGGCCTTTCATTCTGAAAGGAGCTAAAAATAGGCAGAACTGAGCAGGCTAAAATCTCATTATCTAAGAATAATTTTGTGCAAAAAAATGTTACAAACAAGGTTTGTATACCCTATAAACATATCCTAACTGTTCAAGGAAGCATAATAGGTCGCCTTTAAAATAAATAAATTAAAGTCACATTTAAAACATTTCATTGTCACAAAAGAATAAGAGAAGAAGCCTGAAAATAACCTGAATTAGCAAAAACTGACAAGGCAAATCTTGGTACGCCTCCTACAAAGACATTCGTCTGCTACCACTGCTCCACGTTGCCTATGTAGTCCTCCATGGTGCTGTTCTCATCTACATCCCACCAGTCTGACAGAAGCACTTCTGACTCCAGGCTGTCCTCCGCTCGACGCTCTTCGGTCGAGCGCGTCGTTTCAGTCGGCCTCGGCCGCCGTCCTTGTTTTGCTGAGAATCTCCCCCGGAGCCGCCTCCTCTCCTGTTGTCGCCGCTCCCTGGCCTGCCTGCGCTCCTGCTGTCTCGCCACCTGGAAGCGCTGCAGGAAAAGGTCACGGGCGTACTCATACAGCTCCACGTCCCACCGGTTTAGCTGGCGAATCCTTTGCTGCGTCTCGGAGGGCACCTCAACGCTGGAAGCTCGCGTCCCGTTCAGCTGCGTGAAAGGTGCGATGAACTGTAAGTTGAAGGTTCTCTCGAAGAGGTACTGCGTTTTACGCTGGTACTCGGTCAGGCCAAAGAAGGCCATCCCCTTCAGGTTGCGCTTGGCGCTGTCCAGAAGCACCGCCCAGCGTTCGTCTTCGCCCATGGCGGAGACGTTGTAGCAACCCACCAGACTGAGATCTGCCAACATGCGGGTCTGTCGGTTGTTGGCCAGGTTGTAGGGGCAGTCCATGAACTCCTGCAGGGAGCAACCCGACCAGTCGTCTCCAGGGTAGCAACTCGGCAGCTCTGACAGCGTCGGTGAACGTCCGTCGCACACGTGAAGGGAGGCTTTCCAAGTGGCTCCGCGTTGCACGTGACGCCACTCGCTGAGGTAACGCGACACAGGATCTCTTAAGATCGTAATGTAGTAATAGTTTCTACTAGAAAGAGAAGGAAACAGAAATTAGTATTTGCAATTAGGACAGCAGCAATAAGCGATAAATCAATTAATCGTATGATAAATTAAAGCAAACTCAATTTCCATTTGCATGACTTGTCGTTTTTCTTTTTCTACCAAAAACTGAATAACAAAAGTTTTCAGTCTGGTGCTTTGGTCTCAACTTGTCCTTTTATTGAAGGACTATTATGTTTACAGAGAATTCATAATTTATTTTATTTATTGTTTCTTCTGTTTTGTTTATTTATTTTGGATATTTAAAACATATTCCACTTCCAGTATTAAATGTTCATTAGAATTTAAAGTGTATTGACCTTTGAGAACATGTTCTTGTATTATTATGCCATTACGACTATGTTAGTTGAAAATGGTCTCAAAACAACAATTGTTATTGTTTATCAAAATAACTTCTGGGACAATTTACTGTCCAGCTAAATTTGTTATAATATAACAGGCCTACATTTCTAGATTTTCAATATATTAGGCATTATTATATTTTTGTCTTCTAGGGATTAGCAGAAACTGAAAAACCTGTAAAATGTCCATACTTTTCTAGAATCATTAAACAGTCAAACGGTACCTAAGTTACTGAAATCAAACTTCTTTCTTTTATTCATTGTTCATGTCATGTTTGTGTTTTCGCCTTGCCTCCCATCACTCTCTTCTTTCATTCCAGCTTTTTCCCACCATTTTTCCAAGCTCCATATTTAGACCCTGTCAATTAGCTTTCTGCTACATTTGATACAGTTCATTATGATACTTTATTGGGTCGACTAAATTATTGATTAGGTATTAGAGATACTGCTGAGTTTGTTCAAATATTGTCTAAATGACAGAATTTTTTCTGAAACTTCTAGCAATAATTCTTCCAGTTCAACTTCTGTTACTTGTGGTGTTCCCCAACTATTATTTTCCATTTATGTGCTACACCTGATCAGGTTATTGATAAATTCAATATTTTTATTTATATGCAGACAATTCCCAGATGTATTTGTCCATCAATCCATCAAACCTCTCTACTCTCAATAAACTTCCTCTTTTTCTATCAGACATCAAAACCTGGAAGATAAAAAAAAAAAACTGCTAAATGATGTGAATTTAACGTGATTTTCCTCTAACCTTGGCTGGTTTTTCTGGGCCTCTCTGGAGTCCATGCGTGATGGGACACAGTGGGTCAGCTCAGTCCAGTCCGCATGAAGCCCGCAGCTCCATCCGGTGGAGAACCGAGAGAAGAGCCAGGTTTCCTTCTTACCTGGCCGCAGGCAGGTGCACTTCTTCTGGCCTGCGTGGCACTCACAGGGCCTCTCCAGCTGGATGTTACGCACCAGGTGTCGGCCAAAAGTTGTGCCCCCCGTTTTCTGGATGTGCAGAAATACAATGACATCATCCCCTTTGATGTTGAAGTCCACCTCTCGGTTCAGGTCGGCGCTGGTGAAGTTGAAACGAGGGACAAATCGGGCCAAAGCGCCGTCTTCTGCGATGTAGGGGTCCTTCTGGAGCCCGTCCTGCGACTCACCGATTCGGATGCCAGGTCCGCCCCCGAGGGTGAACCAGGCCCCCAGCTGGTGGAGCATTTGGCACTCGGAGCTGCTGGGACAGGCATACTGGATCATAAAAACGCCGAAAACCGCCACCATGAGCAGGAAGAGGAGGAGCCGCTGGTGGCTGCTGGTGGACTTCTCATCCATCTTCCCGAACCCGATGAAAAACCATCCCTCGGGTCCCCGTTTCAGAGCAGCAGACAGGAAACAATAACAATGCAGCTAAAAGCCGAGAGCGAGCGGCGTTAGGTAACCAGGTAGTCAGTCACAGCGCCGCGCTGTCTGGGCCCATCTGGGTTTTACCAGGCAGAACCGGGTAGTTCTGTTTACTCTAGCGGACAGATTAGTGGTATAAAAATATTAATCTTCTTAACAGGGCTAATGCTCATCTTCAGCACCAATCGATTCTTGACCTTTCTTCCCGTGAGTCACTGCGCGTAAACGTGCGTCATCCCGCTACGTCAAAGTGGACTTCATTTGCAATGTAGTTTTCTTTAGGGTAAAAATGCAAGGAACTGCCTACAAATACGTTTTAAAGAATACAAAAATAAAACAAGAGGTTTCTGAAAAAACATTTTTTGACCAAAAATGTAATTAAAAATGCTCAATATCATACTTTAGTTGAAATAACATCATAAAGAGAAAACCTCGCATGAACTGACAAAATGTATATAAAAAGCAGGTTAAAAATGAATTCCCTGTTAATACATTCACCAGAGGTGTTAAACATCCATGTACTTTTGAAATAAATGTCTCCAATAAAACTTGGGTAAAATTATAAAAAATTAATTATTATAATAAGAAGAAATTTATCATGACAACAATAACATGTAGATGTTTATAAATGCATAGATCTTCATATGACATTGTTTGCATATATGCAAGTTTGTAAACTTGAACGGCAGGAAGGCCACAATAAACATCTGAATGAGTGATTATGTAATGTACCGGATTATTTTACTGGTTTTTCCTGAAAACTAAAAGATTCCTTATATTTCCTACAGTCAGCAGTGGACAGATTTGATTTATTTCAGACACAGTTTGATGTACTCTGCTGGAGGGTGGGAATTAGGACTGTAATGAGGCTAGTAATTGGGGTTGCAATTAGTATTTTTAGGAGTAGTTTTACATTGCTGTACTTTTTATTGTTACTTGAGTAATTTTATTATGAAGAACTACTACTTTTAGTAGAGTAAGATTTACTGTATTTTTTGTGAGTTACTTAGTGTTACTTAGTACAACAGTGAGTTACTGTAGTAGAAGTAGGCTCAGCAGCTGATGTGCTATAAAAATAGCATCGGAAAAAAAATGGATTTGGAAATTTATTTCTTATTTTGAAATTAAATCATTTATTTGAACGATTTTTTTTTTCATTTCAGTATTTAAAATACCAATATTTACACATAAATTTATGTTTTGGTCTGACTATTGACATTTTCAATATTAAATTAGATTTTATATTCAGTTACTACTCAGTACTCAAGTTGTTGTTTTTGATCAAATACTTTTTACTCTTACTTAAATTATTTCTAGGGAGCCGGTTATTGGTTTGACTTGAGTATATATATATATATATATATATATATATATATATATATATATATATATATATATATATATATATATTTTCCTTCTTTCTCTTCTAGTCTAAATATA